GATTTGAAATGTATTTGAAATCAAGGTGAAGAAGCTGAAAACAAAATATAATTTAGACAGAATATTGTATTTTTCAGATTTATCTTTAACTCTTTTTCATAAAAAACAGTTAAGTAAAACTAACCAATGCCATCTGTATGTAGTTTAGTTATAGTTTACTAAAGAGTTTCTGTACTTTGTAGCTATGAAGGGAAAAAAAATATGCAAGGACAGAATAGCAGCCATGCCCTGCAAAGTTAGAAATCCGTAAAATTTGAAAAATAGCTTTTTGTAATAATATGACTGTCATAATTTCTGTAATAAATTATAATTTTGAATACTTGAGAAGAAAAATTCCTCCAAAAACCTGTGCTGAAAGTGCAAAGTTATAATATAGAGGGTTATTACTGTGATTGTTCTTCAAAATAACAATAAAGCAAGAAAAGAAGGCTGTCATATGAACAGAAATGGAACTCTTGTTTCTAAGATAACTTCAAATATTTCTTTTACAAGTTCCTTTATTATTCTTTAGCAAGCCCTCACGTCAGACAGATCATTATATCAGCAGACCAAGTTGTATGCACTCACAGATGGTGACAGAAAAGATGTTACAAGTCTGAACTATGAGCTGTACAAATCATACAAGACTCAAGGCAACAGATGGAGTCTTAAGAACAAAGCTCGAGACATTAGCAGAAGTCTCAGTAGTGATATCACAATGGTTAAATGATGCTACTATGCATAAAAAACACCCCTGTAGTTCTCAAAATAACTTAACTCAGGCTTAAAAATCAAATCTCTTTAGATCTGTAACAGAGAAAACAACTAGAAAACCACTCATCCTTTAAAAAAAACACATTGTAACTGAAATAAAATGTCAGAATGGGTTGGTAAGACTACAAATCCACTCCACTGGTAATACCAGAACATCTGATACTCTGCAGACTTAAGACTTAGGAACAACTTAAGGAAACAACAGCTTTACGCTGGAAGAGAAAAGGAGCATCATACCCACCAGCTACCTGAATTTAGATTATTCTCTCTCTT